TATGAATCCCAGGGGTGTGCTGATGTACTAACTATGTCCTCCATGCTCCCACTGGTCACAAAACTTGATCCTGTTCATGCCATGATGCTGAATGGACCCTCTTGAGCCAGTCCAAGCCCAGCTAGGATGCCAGCCCCCCTAGGGGACCCCTCCCAGGCCTCCAAAAGTCTCCTCAGCACTCCATCGTCCACTCAGCTACCTTGCCAGCTTGACTCTTCCATATTTATGGCTTGGTCTAACACCTCTTCCAGACCTTCAAACCTGGGATTGGTTAGACTCCCATAAACATGCATATTGGTCTCCACCCCTTCTGCCTACTGGTTTCTTGAAGGTTCCCTGGTTCTCCAGAAGGCAGTACAGTCCCAACCTGTTAAGCCATCCAGCCTGAACTGCAGTAACCTGACTTAATTACAGACTCACACAGTTACACAACAAATTTACATACAGTATTCTAGTAGCACACAAGAGGGTGCTACATATAGATACAGTAGATAAAGTTTTGTGATGCATGATTGGCTTTAATGAATTGTCATGTGCATCATTTTAAACTAGGTATGCTGTTTGTATGCATTTCACAGATACACGTGTGAGGGTATCATGATTCATGTTAATGAGTCAAGATAAATTTTACTTGTTGCATCTCCAGAGATAGACAGGCTGCCAAGGAAGTATATAACTTTAGTAAATGGGACCCTAAGTATAGTCTTATATTATGCAGTTACTAAACATTGTAGATATTCTGGCAGTTAGCAGGATTAAGTGTTAACATTATTTTGTACCACATTCTGTTTATATATACTTGCAATAAAATTCTGTCCCTCACACACACAGACTTTTTATAGACAGCTTTCATACCTTAGCCAATTATTACTTATTTTATAAGCCAACTGAGCTAAAACTGAGCATATTTCCCTGAGCTATAAACATAACAAATATAAAAACGGTTTAGCAGATTTTAACAAGGTGTCCATACAGTAAGAGGCATTCATGTTATATTATGCTCGACTTGCTCTCAAAATGTGAGCATTGGCAAGTTCCATTCCCAAACAAAATAAGTATTTGGTCTAATAAAAAGGAGGAAGCATAGTTCTGTTTAAAGAGAATATGTCAGGATATAAATATGGGAGCTGCCATCAGTGATTTGTTTTTGAAGGCGCTGGTTCAGAGGTTTCATCCTATTAAGGGAGTAAAGGACCCAAAGCAAGCAGAAAGTGCGCATAATAAGTCCCAACACCCATACCAGCTTCCTAAACCTAAAAATCTTGTGTGTTTGGTGTACCTTAAGAATGCAGCACTCAATAAATCCAGAAACATGATAATTAGGAATAATTAAAAAGGTGTACAATCTTACATGAAAATTATAAATGGTTTTTAAAATTATAAAATTCTTATACACACTATATAAATACACAGACATAATCACAAGCCATGATTGAAATTGTGAATATCAAAATTTAATTTTTTAGAGATGAAAATAAAGTCCACACCCAGTGTTCAAGTGTACCCCAAATGGCAAAAAAAAAACTTGCATAAAACATGTGATCTAAATGTTGAACATGCCAAATGCCAAGTCACCATAAAGGCCAACTCCTTAAATGATCTCTATATTATTAAAAGATCAAATGAGCGTAAATGAATGATAAAAAATCCCTCACACTGCATACCTTCAAATTCATGTCCCCCAATTGTATAGCCAATCCAACAATATGCACACCTTTCCTCAGGGGTAATAGGAAGTAACAAGAAAATCACCATAGAGTAATATTGCTAAAATTCCATATTTATTAAATATAAAAAAAGATTTCAGAGTAAAAAATATATATAGCCATGCTGTTGTACACTGGCGAACATAAGGACGTCACAGGCCACAAGCCTGCCCTACCTTATTTGTCAACAAGCAGACATGTTTAGGGGACAAATAAGAAGTTTTTAAATAGGCCCCAAAGAGTTCAAGGAAGAGTAAGGATGACAAGCCATGGAGCAAGCATTTTTAAAAATATGTCAGACATGGTAACTCCTATATTTGTACCATAAATGTCTGATAAAAATTAACTAAGAAAGTGTAATTTCTTGTTTTATTGTTTAAAAGCTGGAACATTTACAGCTGCCCTTGCAGGCAGATATAAAAGATACACATCTCTGTATTAATTCATAAAATAAACATATTTAAATGCAACTAAAGTAAGTATCTCACTTTGATTGAACATCAGCCTCTGCAATCCTCTACGCAGCAGTACTCAGGCTGGTAGGGGGAGAGGCAGTACAGGAAGCCAAATAGGTGTGTTGCATGAAAGTATTCTAGAATAGAATATAGGAAGAGAGAGCAAAGTGAGCAGAGAGATCACCTCATCAGCCTGCTACTGCTCTTTGCTGTTCAATTAGCAAGATGTGGAGATGACAAGAGATGGAGATGAAGTTTAGGTATGGAAATTTTCACATAGTTACATTGGTCATCTTGGACTAATGTAAGTATGTAAATGCCTGGGGAAGCTGGAAATCACTGTATTATGCACTGCTGCTGCAGTGTTTGCTGCTAGCTTCTGAATGTTGAGTAGCTGCCTTGCTGCTTACTTCACACAGGAAGTTGCATGCTTGGCATGGACCCCATTCAGAGAACACTTTTCATTTTTTCAATGAATGCAAGGTGTTCTCCGATTGGACAAAGTGGAGATCGTGATGTCATGTTGTGATGATTGTGATGTCACCACCCCTTCTTTCCACTTTGTCCAATCAGAGATCAATAAAATAAAACTTCAGCTTTAACATTAATAGCACCATCCAACTGCCTTTGTTTTGTTACCAGGTTGTATACATCTCAAGACTGGTTTGGCAGAAATATAAATTCTTTAGCATGTAAAATAGCCCTCATATATGTATTTGTGTATTTAGCTGTTTGCCTGGAATCTAATTTTCCCATCATGCCCAGAAACCCTGCCCTAAAGGTTGTCCTCATTTAAGTGTATTCTTTTTTATTAGCCCAGCTTGCATTCTTAATGTAAAATGTTTAATTATTAAAAAAAAAAATGCAATCTTCTTGTTTGGAGATTTTCTGAACTTAATAACCAGTGCTAAACAGTAAGAGGAAAGCTGTAAATACAGATGTAAAAATAATGTGAGTATTCCCATACAGAACAGAATGTTCATTCAAATATGATAGATGCTTTAGTAAAATAAATATTTAACAGCAATTCAAGAAAAAAAAACAAAAACGAAAAACAAAACTCTAATTGTTGGAAAGAAAAGGTTCTTTACTAACCACAAAATTCACAAAATTTTAAGGGACTCTTTCCATCTTCCTTTTGGACTGTTTGTTCCTGTCCTTGCTTATTGGAGGTCATGGAGCATTAGGGCTAGAACCACCAGGCCAAGGAACAGCTTATTCCCTGATGCTTTGAGATTGAAAAATTCTGCATCATCCTGAATTATTGCTGCTATTATTAATATTATTACTTTTTCTGGGCATCACTGCAATTTGAGTTTGACAATACTGTACCTAATGATTGACAATATTGCAATCTTACTCAGCATCCTGCTGCTTTTATGTATAATTGTTGCTCACATTAATTAATTGGTGTTAATGCAATATTATTATTATTATTATTAATAATATTATTACTAAGTTTTATGTTCACTTTGTATGTAACCATATACTTATGTTTACCTATTTAACTGTACCTCTTTGTTTGTCTTGATATTATTTAATAATCTTATTTAGCATCCTGTTGGCTTTTTTTTTTAACAGTTGTTGCTCACATTGAACAAATCTGTGTTAATGTGATATTATTATTATTTTTTTTTTGTGTCACTTTTTTACCCTGTCACATTTTTTTGTATCCATATAATTAAGTTTACCTATTTAACTGTTTTCTTAATTTGTTGTTTGTTCTCCTGGACCTAATTTAGTTCATTGCATGTATACCATGTTTTTGGAATGACAATAAAATGTCATTATTCTTATTATTACACCCTTACTTGTATGGGTGGAGAATTGGAAATCATGTTTAATATTACTTTGCCCCCCATCTTCCATATTTGCCTTACCTGTTCCCCTGTACAGAATAGTTGGGAAAGAACCTGAGAGAAAATCTGTGTTGATAGTAGTGGGCAATGGATTTGTTTCTTTCACACAACATTTGTCATTCAAGCAACTTCATGCACCATTCTCTGGTCCACCATTCATGGACTCATTCCTCTTGCCTGTAGTGGAATGCTGTCACTGTCACACCGAGAGGGCCTATAGGTAGAAAAATACATTATGTATCTGGAATTTAGAGGCTTCTGACTTGGGTAAACTAGTGAAAATGTTATGCCTTTTCAGATATTAAAAATATGGTAATGCATCTGAAAAACATAAATTTGAGTTTAAATGCCTTTATGTTTCACTAGATGGCACTGGCAGTTAACACATAATGCACATTTACTAGTTGGATTTGGATGTATTTTCTGTTTAATGCTAAGCCACAAAAAAGAACATTTTAGAGAAAGAACGATGGGTACATTTGAGTTTTAGAAGATTATTAAATATTCATACCTTATGTTCACTTTTAAGGAAACCCGTCATGAAAGGTGCCTTTGCTGACCTCTCTTGAATAATATATGAATTGCTTAGCTGTCATGCTGACTGGTACTGATGAGTAACTTTAAGCCACAAAAAGAGTATGTAAACTAATACAGACATTTACAACACTGAACTGCATCATAAATAGAGACAAACAAGTTATACATTAGTTTGAATGAAATTAATTATTACTTCTGGCTAGGAACTCTGTTTCCATTCTAATACATCAACAAAGTTATGGAGAAATTTCACAAGACTTCACCCAGGGCTGGATTTTCATTGGATTTTCACAGTAAACATATAACTATCACTGCACAAAGCAACACCCTTGGCTATGATAACCTCTTTACAAAGGGTGTTTCTTCGCATTATTTGTCAAACCCTGGTTAAGAATATTGTGTAAATGAGCTATATAAAAAATGTTCTTATTTCTATGGATAGTCAGAAGAAAATGAGAGACTGATAACTATATAAAAAAATCATCCTTCTTATACGTATCAGTGCTGCTGATCTCCTCCAGCGTCTGACAACCAGTTTTGGTCTACATGCACTCTTTCTAGCACTGGCTGCACATCAATGCTCTGAATCAGGGGCAGACTGACAACTCATGGGGCCCCTGGGCAATAGGGGATCATGGGGCCCCTGTGTCCTTGCCCAAACTCAAAAAAGCCTATAAAAAAGATACCAGGGGCATATCATGTGGCCCCCTACTGACCCCGGGCCCTCGGGCAGTGCCCAAGTTTCCAAATAGTCAGTCCGCCCCTGCTCTGAATCAGTTTCCTGATAGTAAAAACAGTGGAGCATACTTGTGCAATGGGTATTGGCATGATGGCTTGTTACAATGTGACAACTCATAAGCATAATTTAGAGAAAAATGTCACTCTATAAAATAAGTGCCTGAACAAAGGAATTTGTGACAAGCATATCTAAAATTATTGAGAGCAACTTCTAAAATTACACTAATATGTTAATGCTTTTATGAGATTTTGGTGCCTGGAGTTAGATAAACTTTAAGCTGTTGGTAACAGAGGTTCAAAATGTGGAGAATCTTATCAAAAAGGCCTGTTAGTGGCAATACACAAGCAGGAAACACACATTCATTTAATTCCAGTTGTTACAGCCCAGTCTTTCAGAGGTCATACCAGACATTTGCACCCAAAAACCTTTAGAGCCATGGGCTACAAGACATGAAGACCTACAGGGAAATCATCTTGCTGCTGGTTTGACAACCCTGCCTTCACCAGGCCCCCACAAATTTCCTCATGGATGCCAGTAATTGTCCATGCTTCCCAGGTGTAGGCTTACTCTACTTCTCAGAAGAATGAAAACATTAATCCAAATCCTTATTTTTCTCCTCTTTAGGTAAATGTATGTAGCCCTCTTTTGGGAGTTTTATGAAAAATGGTCCTCCCCAAACTGGATATTGTGCTCAATCTGTAAGTAAATAAGAGAACCAGAACTTTCGCTAAGTGGAAGAGCGGGTTTGATAATAATTTCATGCATGTGTAGTGGGCATTAGGCTGTGAAGCCGCAAGCTGTCACAGCCAGATGCCCACACTGAAGATGGCGGTGCCAGGGACAGAAGACAGCCGGTGAAACCAGTTGTGGTGAGGACACCACTGGACCAAGGAATAGGTAAGTGTCTATATTTTTAAAAGTCAACAGCTACAGTTTTTGTAGCTGTTGACTTTTTTTTTTTTTATTCAACTGGAACTGCACTTTAACAAAGTTTCATAGGAAGACATTCATAGACAGGCATGATTGGCTGAAACCAGAATTTTTTCCCACCATGGGGTTTTCTTTTTCAACAACTTCCAGCTGTCCTGGAGATGTCTACTCGGGAGAGAACAGTTGGCATTCCCCTAAGGGGAAAGCCGCATCATGGGAACTATTTTGCATAGTCTCTGTGAAGGCCCTAACTCTCCAACAAGGGCTTGATCAGACCTCCTCTCTGCATTCCGAAATACCTTCAACTCTCCTATCTAATTTTAACACCCCTAACCTTGTGGGCCTGACTCCACCCCAGCTATACAACTATTCCTAGCTAGAGACCTTGCCTTTCACCAGGCCTTACATGTATAGTTCTCAAATTCAAGATTGACAAGAAACCTAACATGTTTTAAAATCTGCCATTCTCTAGGTATTGATTTAGCCAACAAGGGTTATTACTTGAACTTGAACTGCTTTCACAGATGGCTAACACAGCACAAACCTCTGCTTTAATATTTTAAACTTTTACTGCACTGACCTGACTTTACAGTTCTTACAATATGGGAAAACACAAGCAGAGGGAACTGATTTATGTTTGTCTTTTACAAATATCTGAGGATGTGAGTTACATGGAAAGTATCAACACACCGAGCAGTAAAGACAGCTGAGCCTGGAAATGCAGATTTGTATTCTGGGAATATTACCATTATGTATCCATTTAAAGAAAAATCTGTTTAATGTTGCTAGACCTGGTAAAACAAAAGTTGTTTTTTGTACAACACCATTGGGAAGTTTACTTCTTTTGGATTAGTCATTTTAGGCAGCATGCATCATATGCACATTTACTATCCTTTTTTTTTCTAAAGTGAGAAGCAGATCAGTGTAATGTACTGTATATACCGTTGTGTTCAAAATAATAGCAGTGTGTTGAAAAAGTGAATAAAGCTCAAAATTCTTCTAATAGCTTGTATTTCCATACACACAAATGCATTGGGAACACTACACATTATATTCCAAATCAAAACATGAAGAAAAATATATCAAATTTGTGTTGTTCCTCTAAAAAAATTGAAGAAAAGTGAATATTAGACTGTTCAAAAAAATAGCAGTGTTTGTATTCTTTACAAACTCAAACATTCACTATATAAACTGAAAAACGTTTGAAGATTTTGCTTTCCTTTGAATCACTTAATGAATATTTAGTTGTATAAGCACTGTTTCTGAGAACTGCTGTACATCTGTGTTGCATGGAGTCAACCAACTTCTAGCACCTGTGAACAGGTATTCCAGCCCAGGATGATTAAACTACATTTCACAGTTCTTCTCTATTTCTTGGTTTTGCCTCAGAAACTGCATTTTTTGATGTCACCCCACAAGTTTTCTATTGGATTAAGATCCGGGGATTAGGCTGGCCACAGCATAACTTCAATCTTGTTGGTCTGGAACCAAGATATTGCACGTTTACTGGTGTGTTTGGGGTCGTTGTCTTGTTGGAACACCCATTTCAAGGGCATTTCCTCTTCAGCATAAGGCAGCATGACCTCTTCAAGTATTCTGATGTATTCAAACTGATCCATGATCCCTGGTATGCGATAAATAGGCCCAACACCGTAGTATGAGAAACATTCCCATATCATGATGCTTGCGCAACCATGCTTCACTGTCTTCACAGTGTACTGTGGCTTGAATTCAGTGTTTGGGGGTCGTCTGACAAACTGTCTCCAGCCACTAGACCCAAAAACTACAATCTTACTTTCATCAGTCCACAAAATGTTGCATCATTTCTCTTTAGGCCAGTCAATGTGCTCTTTGGCAAATTGTAACCTCTTCAGCGCATGTCTTTTTTTCAACAGTGGGACTTTGCGGGGGCTTCTTGCAGATAGTTTGGCTTCACATAGGCGTCTAATTGTAACAGTACTCACAGGTAACTTTACACCTTCTTTGATCTTCCTGGAGCTGATTGTTGGCTGAGTCCTTGCCATTTTGGCTATTTTTCTATCCATTCGAATGGTAGTTTTTCACTTTCTTCCACGTCTTTCAGGATTTGGTTGCCATTTTAAAGCATTTGTGATCATTTTAGCTGAGCAGCCTATCATTTTCTGTACTTTTTTGTATGTTTTCCCCTCTCCAATCAACTTTTAAATCAAGGTACACTGTTCTTCTGAACAATGTCTGGAACGACCCATTTTCCTCAGAATTTCAGAGAGAAATGCACTGTAACCAGCATGTACAACATTTGCTGCCTTCCTTCCTTAAATAAGGGCAATAATTGCCACCTGTTTTTCAAAGAATGAATGACCTCACTAATAGAACTCCACACTGCTATTATTTTGAACATGCCCCTTTCAATTAGTGATTCAATTACACAGAATCATCAGCATGCATGTCATGACTGTTGGGTCTGTTGGATTTCTATTACTCTACTACACCTGCTAGTAAATTATTTGCCATGTAGAAATATCATTTCTACCAAAAACAGTGATTGATCAGGTTAGTGATGTCTGACTGCTATTATTTTAAACACAACTGTACATTTATCAACGTGTGTTGGAGCAGAGTTAAAGTCATGTCAGGGAATAGGGGGTCAATAGGATCAGAAGGGAGTCACTCCTGGGTGTTATATATAATAGTTGCTAATGATATACTGTACTATACATGGGGCTAGCCGAATTTCCTTTTTACAAGTTAAGTCTCTAGTTCTTGCTTAGATGTGTTGTACAATGCTTTTGTTATGCTAATTCTCTTCTCTTTTTATAAAAGAGAATGTAGTCTACTAGAGGTTTCCAATCACATAAAACATGCAGAATTGTCCTTAACTACCTCCTGCCTATTATCAAATGATGGCTGAGTCTAATCCTGGATGGACGTCATATGACAGCCTCCCAGTCTCACGCCTTGTGTGAGCCCTTGGGGGCGCACAGCAGCCCCGATCTGTCACCCACGGTGACTGTTATAAGCAATCATATTGTACAAAAAAATCCTGATCACCTCCACAGAATAGTACAGTGTCACTATGGTAACACTACACTAGAATGTAAAAAAAAAAAAAAAGAAAGAAAAAATGTTTTTTAAAAAATTAAAAAAATATTATTATTATTATTTTATATATATACTGTAGCCAGTCAGTATCTCTGATCACTACCACACTAGTGGGTGACAGCTCGTTTGTACCAGGTGGGCCCCTGGTACCATGCGATCGCTGTGACCAATTAGAATGATCACATGTTAAATGTACATGATGAATGGCTTTCATTCATAGCCATTCATTGTGTAATATTGTGATCTCTGTGATTGGTCAGTGATCACATGGTACAGGCAGGGCCAATCATAGCACACCTGTACCATGTGATAGCTGTTTCCAATCACAGCTATCAAATTATACATAATGGCGCATGATTTTCAGAAAAATTATTGCTTACAACATTGATCATCAACAATCATAGTGTAACAATATCCTGCTCACCTCCCCAGAATAGTACAGTGTCACTATGGTAAAACAGCAGTAGTATGTAAAAAAAATTGTAAAAAAAGAAAGAAATGTTTTATAAATTAAAGAAAAATTATTATTATTATTATTTTACATACTGTCACCAGTCAGTATCCCTGATCACCGCCACACTAGTCATATAATGATGCTGTACCACTCTGGTGACAGTGTATTAAAAAAATGTGGAAAAAAATGTTTTATTTTCCTCATTTTCGAAATAGTTGTGCCAAAAAAATTGTAACTTCAAAAAACTCATTATGCCTCT